GATATAAACCATTTATTTCATCACTCACAGTAAACATTGCTTTCAGGAAAATCCTTGGCTTGTTCTATAGCGACATGCATTTTCTAACTAATGAAGACCAGAGAGTCTTCTTCTACATGATGTAACTATTTTTAAGCTGTGTACTTTTTACACCACACATCTAATTACAACACAATTGCTTTTTCTAGGAGTTTCTCTACACCTTTGAAGCCAAATTCAACATGATTTATTAGGCAGATAAGTTTGGATCATATACATCAGGTCAGGTCAACCGACATTTGATGAAATGAGGTTGGACCGAAATCAGGATGAAGCAGGCAGAGAGCACAATGTAGAATTCTGTTCTGTGCTTTATGGTATATGAAATTTCAGGAAATGTTTTGTTGTATTTTATAAAATTTATTAAAATATTTCATTAGGCGATGCCGGATTTTAAGAAATCCTTCGGTCACCACTTATTTGAAAATAGATCCTTTAGGTTAAGGCGCATTCACTCACTGCGGAGGAGCGGTGTGGTATCTTACTCCTTCATGCTTAGCTTTGAGTTATCTCGATTTGATTCATCCGATCATTAAAAAAGTAGGCTATTCTAAAGACTTCACAAATTTTTTTAAGAAAAATGTTGATAGGTGCATCTTGCAATTCACCGAGTCATGTCACATCGTGGTGGCCCGCCACTACTCATTTATAGAATAGATCAAACCAATAAGTACTTTATTCTTCAAATTTACTAACCAAAGTTCACTTTTCCTTCAATAGAATGCCCGCAAGGCCAGAATTCGCAAAGGTGCGGCATCCGATGTCACCGGCGCTGAAGGTGGTGGTGGTGTATTTTTCTCCCAGGATTCCTCTGGTGCAGATTCCGATGCAAATGGAGATGCTGAAGTCTCTATGGTCTCTTCCATCGGTCATCCACCCATTCTCCGCACCACTTTTAGCTCGACGGTCCGTCACCATTCCATGCCACCTCATGACAGTCTCCTGCCACCCCAGCCATCACTTATCTCTCCCTCACAGTTAAAAGGTGATGTCGGTGTTAGTGGTGCTGGTGGTGAGGGCCCGCGGAAACGAAATCAATCCTTTGGAAGTGTCCGATTCTTGCCACAAACCGAGTCACCATGGCTACCGCCTCACTCCTACCAACCGACGAAACGGCAGTCGATACTGTCGCTGGAGGAACAACGTGTCAACGGAGATAAAGATGAGGATGATACGATGGCTCCCATGACTGTCACTGAGGCTGGTGATGTCGATGACGACTCGAGGAAAGCGAAGGGCAACTGCGGAATTCAAATCCGTGTGGATAAGGAAAACAGTCAGTATGAATCTGCGGATCTGACTACCTCACGTCTGGGAGAGTCTGAGGTGAATTTAAGCACTTTTCAGTCTAACCGTTGTGTCTATAATCGCCTATTTTATTTAAAATACATTCTTCTTTAACACAAAATCATCAGAAAGACATGAAAAGTTTAAACCGGCGAAATACATTGCCAGGATTTGGTGAGAATTCAATATACTATATACGATTTGCAATAATAAAACTGATTGCTTGAGAATAGATCCTTCATAGTCGAGCAAAGCACGCCCGCGTGAGGTTTCGGTTTTGAATTCGGTCTTTAGTTCAAAAAGGATTGTTTTTAAAGGGATTCGAGGATGTCAAGCCTGCGTAGAGTAATTTTGTTAATGAAGTCGGCAAAAATATACTTTCTCATAGCATCTACTTCGTATTTTGGGCTTATTTGCCGGGCGAAGACCATTTAAATACCTGTATGGCGGCGAGGAGTCTTCGTCATTTATTCTTTACTAATTTTGCGGACAAACAATATTAAAGTTATCTGCGCCGATGTACCTCCCCGATAAATGAGAATTTAAGATGTGTCAAAAGGAAAAGTCGGAAGCCTCTACTATTGACCTTGACAACAATAACTTGATACCTTCAATACTGTACCAGAAAGTTTGATTGTCGGTAGGTTTTACCGAGCCCTAATCGAGACCACGAGCCAGGAAATCGTCTCAATTTAGCACCTTAAATGAGGACTCTATTATTCCCATTTCAATGATGTGTAACTTGCATTTAATTAGTTGATTTCAATGCTGTAGCTGCTTAGACTATCGTTCCCCTTATTACTTGACAAGTTACTCCTAATTATGGGGGACAGTGCTTTGTGGGTGCGTCTCAGTGTAGGTATTTTAATGGCTCTATCGCTTATTTTCGCAATGCTGTGTCGAGTTAATCACACAAGCAAATACAAACCAAAGAATCTTTTCTCCACATAATCACGCATCGATGTTATTTACAAAAACTGTTGCATTTGCGCTTCCACCCATTACTTTCTATTTTTAAGTTGATGTTTTGCACGCATGCAGCTTCAGACAACAATTCCGCAATTTGGTTGTGCAAAGCTGAATAAGGTGGAAAGAGCACTCCTCCTTTGATTAAGGAGTTGCCTGATGCAAACTTCTTAAGGGTGGTTTAAATCACCGCCTAATCGCGTAAGAACAGAAGATGACCCCATTCCTACCCATATTGGTGGCATTTATTCACTGTAGGAGCTAAGGGCGCTGCCTGTAAAAGTTGTTTTTTTTTTAATATCCCTGTGTGTCAGTAGGTGGCAGAGGGCCTTTCCTTCTAGCGGCAATCACTTTTGGAGTCCCTCATCCTATGCACCGAAAAGGCGTTGCATTCAACGAAGAAAAAGTCCAAGTCTTGTCTTAAATTTACTCAAGCTACAAAACACTCAAAAAAGGACTGATTAAATCGGTACTACATATTATTATTATTCTAAAACAATGAGAATGTTGGCCTTTGCTTCAATGAAGTGTTACGTGCCTTAGCCCATCAAAAAATTGAAATTATTTAATCGTAGTCACTCCAAAAGAATTGCTTTAAATACTCTACTTTAAACATGCATATAGTTTAAAATGTGAGTCATTTTGGTTTGCAATCGCTTGTAGTGTCACATATATGTGACATGTGTTCTTTGCCAGTTTACAATAACCGGTTTCGCAAAGTAATTATCTTAATCGAGTTCGTTGAGGCAAAAGCAGCAAAATTATACAAAATTCACCATTAGAACAAGGATATTTGCGATTTTTAGCTTTGAATCGTATAGCTTTAAATTGGACACATTTTCTGCGGGTTATGATGGTCGATTTTTTCGGAGACATTCATAGTGAAGCGTTAGATGATTTGATGCTTGTTTCCTTTTTCAAAGGCAATTCACCTTACATTGAAGTAGTCATCTGGTGTGAACACGATTTCTTGGGTATTTTTATTTGACTCCAAAGAATTAACCGAGCTCCCAAAAGAGATCTGTGAGAAATGCAAATTCGGCGATGCAATTTCCTTGAAATTTCTAAAGTTTACCAAAGTTTGCTGGCATTGCGATGCATCTTTTCGATATGATTTTTGGGCGCACTGTTAGTTTGGATTGACCGGCGTTGGAATGTCATCTTGACTTGGCAAAGTCGGGAATTATTTTTCTCATAATATCCTTTTCGAAGGTCAATTAACTGTCTCTTACTGTTAGCGAATAAGTTCACATCCTGAGTCTTCAAGCAAAGTAAAGTCTAGGTTTTTTGCATTCGTTTGCATTTATTAAGCAACTTGGAGACTGAAATCTAACCACAGTTCAATAAGGGCTGTTCTATGTTGATTCGGATAGCTAATACCACCGAAGGAGGGTAAAAGGGGAGTACATTTACCTAACTCTTCAAGGGAAAGTCGACGCAAATGGATTGGGAATTTAGGGTTAGAAAGTTCCGATTTGAGGAGAACCTCTCATACACCTGTCACTAGTGATGCAGTAGCCGAAGCTGCACTCCTATTGACTAGACTTGACCCCTCATTACTTATCGCTTACATAATATTTGAAATTTCCAGCACGAGGTCACGTTTTATTACCTCTGCTGATTTTCCCCTCGAATGGGGAGGAATACTTAGACGCGCACTCTAGCTGGGTGCGTGCCCGATAAAATAAATAACTAAGCAATCAAATCTCATTTCCGTACTCGCCGAATAATCTTTTGTTTGTTAATCAGCCTATCGTAGACGCTCTAGTGACGGAATGTATCAATTGCTATTCGTATTGGCCTTCTCCTCCGATCTGTTGGACGGAAATTTAAGTAGAAAAAGGAGCAAAGATCGATGAACTCTAGCATATTTCATTAATTTTTCAAGTATGTCTTAAATTTTAAATGTCTAAATGAAGTTTGTGATTTGTCATAGCTAGCCAAAAGAAATTCCCCTCAATGTATTTAAACAATTATAAAGGGTATTTCTTCGAATGACAAAATTCTCTACAATCTTCTGCCTCGAGCGGAGGCATTAGAAATACACCAATTTCCAGTTTAAACTGTGGCATTGATGCGATTAGATCGGGATGTCTTTATGCCAACCATAATACCCTTCTACAATCCGTCTTTTAGGTGGGTGATGGAACAAGTAACACCCTGTCCGATCTTGCAACGAGACACGTTGAGAAGTCAACAATGTCCCTCTTCATTGATGACAGTCACGCCTCTCAACTGGCTAGCCAAAGCAATCAAGACAGGGTCGTGGAAATACGATCACCTAGCTTACAGACGACGCGACGAGGCCACATCAGTCCCAGCTGTGAAGCCGCGCAATCTGTGATTCGTCAACAGCATAGGCACCTACTGAAGTGTCTCCAAATTGTCACGGTAATTTGATTATTTTTTTGAAAAGCCAGCATTGTGTACAGCACGAGGATGCACTCGAGGGTATTGGTATGAATTATGAATGCACACACAGCCGTGACAAATAACGGCATGAATGTAAGCCTGCTTCTCAGTTCGTTAAATCGCCCCCCCTCCCCCATATATGTGTGTGTGTTGAAAGGGAAACCAGAACTATTTATCCCCCTTAAGTGCAAGACAAGCCCATTTTATTCCTACTTCCGCCCATATCAAATTCTTGGCGTTTTATTTTTAGCTAGCATAGTTTTTGTAAATCGAGACAAATTCATGTCTTGAAGATTACGCCTCATTTCATTGTCAATTACGAAGTTATTCACAGTTTGTGTTCATTTTACCAAGTTATAAATATCAAGCATAGCTTTTGTATAAGGGATAATCTAGAAATGTGATTGAAGTTAAAGAAAGCAGATAAAGAAATAATTTCCGTGGATTGACATGCCAGCTAGATCACGACCTAGGTACCTAGGTACCTCGTTTCGATTCTTGCCGATCACTTTTTATCTTTGACATGGTATTTATTTGGAGTAGTCCTTTGAAATAAAGGACTAAATTATACAGAAAGTGCCAACGTTCGGCTGCGTAACTATTAATAGAGTCGTTCGTTTTTTTGATGGGCATAGGGACGGAGACACATTGAGAGAAATCTTTTAATAGCACCTATTGCGAAACCATAGCTATGGCCATGGGTCACTGCGCTCTCAAATTGGACGGCGCTTTGTACTTTTCTTTCATCATTGAGGAATTGTAGATTTGGAAGATGGTTATGAATGTGGTTATAAATATGCACAGAAGGATCGCGAGTTGCCAACGGAAGTGGTAGGGAAATGCTGCCATTACTTTAAGATAGCAGTAGCGCCTCGAACACTAAAGAGGCAAAGTGAATAAATCTTCAGCTGGAATAGATTGTATTCCTTTACTTGATAATATCATCCTACTAAATCCTTTGATCTTTTATAAATCTTGGGTTTATGACCCTTAAATAGCAGATAATTAAACCTAGCACAACCGCGCATTTTTAAGGTCTCAATGCATTTTATTAAGCTGCTTAGTTTCTCACGTCATCGTGTTGAATCAATGGTATGCACACATTTGATTTTTGAACACTTGGGATATTTTTCTTGCGTTTTGCTCAAATAAATCTGAATTTACAAAATTTAGGAGTGTGCACTACACGTAACGCACAACACCCTCCAATAGCACTACATGGAACGCTTTTTGGTCTTAAAGAAGGACAGAGAACATTTGGTGTTCCCTTTTTTATCAATTCATTATCGTTAGCGGCAACTTATTAATAAGACTTAGCGGTAGAAATGCGAAATTGAGGGATTTGAATTAAAATCCACCAGGTGGACAATGGAATTGTTGTCCTTCATATTTAAACTTATCAAAGTGCCTGTCTAGAAGGCGTTTGATACCTGCCTCGTTTTAGTATACTATTGCGTGAGTGAGGCAGTTACACTTTCGCATGTCAATCGCAATTACTTATTTGGCGTTGGGAGATTGATTTGCTGGGCGGCACGAATCCCATCTGCAGTTGGACCGGTGCAGCAATTTCGACTGAGCGCAGCGCAGATAGTTGTGAAGGTGTCACATGACTTTTGAATGAAAATGAAGGTGGTAACAAATGTTTCTTTATTTAAACAAATTTTGACTGGTACTGGTGCAACTGCAACTTGGTAATGTTTGGGGGGAGATTAATTATTACCAGACTAAGGTGGGGGAACGGAATCAGGCAAATACTTTACTTTAGGGCAACCTGATAATAAAACTGACCTGTGCTACGCCTCTTGCTTGATAAGGCATTAAAAGCTAGAGTGGAGCACAAAGTGGTGCCGGAACTACCAACCTATGCTTTAGTGCACTTTTACACAGGATCTGGGAGAACATTCAACAGCAGGAAGTGTGCTTTCAATGGAGGAGAAGGAGAAGATATCAAGAACGCGTGCCCTTTCCAATCAGATATCCGGGAGGCTTTGTAACGCCAACCTTCAACCCAAAATCATCTGTTACCTAGATTAGATCTCAAAATGGAATTTTTGGAAACAGCTTTATTTCATACATGTTTTAATGTACATACATGGGTAAAGAGGGAAGTAATGGTATAATTCCCCTGATGTAGGGTAATAAAACTGTCAACTAAATACGTCAAATGGCTTTACGGCATATGTCTGAAGCGCTGAAGTAATATTGACAGCTGAAGCAGTTGTATGGAATGTCAAGAATGTAAAGGAATGGTTTTTTATATGTACGAAGAGGCAGCGAGGATAGTGGATCGAGATTTCAAGAATAGAACGCGTCTTGCAGGCCTAACGTTAATTTATCCAGACCGATTAGAAGTAACATTTAAATAAGCTGTCTAGAGTTCAAGTTCATTAGACCCTAGATTATTCATGATGAAAAGGTCCTTATTTTTGCTGTCTGGAATGCTATCACACTTTTTCCTGTAGAATTGAAACTTAAAGTCGCATTTCATTGGGCACTGCAGTCATCCATCAAGATCATTTATAACCAACGTACAGAAGAGCTGAACGGCTAGAGACCTACAGTGGACACCATGAACACAAAGTAGTGGGCTCGCTAGTCTTCATGATGAAGAATTACTCGTTGTCGTCAGTTAACATAACTGCCAATAAAGGTGTCGTGAGCTTTCCCAAAATTACTGTTTGATTTCTCCTCACGACTCATTTACCGGTTGTGGACCAAACAGTATTTGTGGCTAAGATCTACCTCCTCAATACAATCCAACTTGGAGGCGCACAAGAAGGAATTTTTCTTGAGGAGCACTTACGAATAATGAACCTCTAGGTAGGAAGTCCTATTCCTAAACGAAAGCGCAAAACCTCTCGCCTCGGACTTAATTCCGGGAAATTTAACCGAGAGAGGATATGCACTTTAGTTAGGTTAGAAGAGGAGGCGGGAGGGGGCAGAGAAGGAGATGGAAGGGGTAGAGATGCTGCTTCACCTCATTTCTTCCCCTCTACTCCTCTGATAACATTTTTTCCAAGCTGTAAATGTTTGTCATCATTTTTGGCATTGGCATTGGACAATCATACGAAATAAAGTACACGGTTGGGAGATAAAAGTGAGACAGACACGGAAGTGTGTTGAACTGGAGCTGAGTTGTTTGCCTTCAGAGACTTGACGTTGTATAAAAGTAAAATTTGCAGCATGTATTTGTCTCCTTGGGAGGGGATTTAATTGTAGGTTGTAATAGCGGTTACTTTAAAGGAGTAAAGTGCATCTTTTGAAAATTCCTGTACCTGCTTAATATGTTTATATAAGCCGCATCACCTTAATTGGTTTACTTACGAGTACTACTTGGATATGGAGTTGAGGTACCTCTTTTCATTACAAGCAAATATCGGCCTTGAGTTGTAAACTTACAAACCATAGAACTTCTAGAGTGCCGAGTGAATGGGCTTCTGGTAAGTTTCGTTTTCGTTTTTTTTACCTTGCATACTTTGGTGAAAGTGAACTACCCTACATTCTGCAGTTTCATGCAAATTTCATTTAGTAAGGAAAAAACCCTTTTGCTTTAGTGAAAAGCACAACAAAAAAGGCTATTTTTATCAGATCTTCTCATTTATGTTTCAATAGATAGCAACTGTCTTAGTGTTACTAAATTAAATGACATCAAAATGCTATCTCAAGCGACATTTTTGACTTACACATTGCAAACACTTGCTCAGAAATTCTAATTTTGAGTTAAATAGCTATGCGCACAAAAATTTTGTTAGTATTGCTAGAGGGCGAGCAATGGCATCTGGGTGGTTGTTGTATCACTCACCCATCTACCTCAACGTCTTGTTACCTACACCATCTTGCATTACACAAGGTAGGGATGTATCTTGCTTAGTCCAGTTCCCTTTAAGATAAGCATTCATCTACTCGTAAAAGTTGCCTTTTTATAAAGAGGTGTTATGTCTTTTAAAATATATCATACGAGGGAAATTTAATCACGAAATGTCAAATCCAAAAAGGACGTCGCACACTGGTCTTGTTTTTCAGTAGGTTGTAAGTTTTATCTTTAATTATGTTAACAACAATTGTCCTCCCTAGGTTGACTGCACCACTCAATATGGGGAGCGATCGTACCTACTAGAAGTTTTCATACGGGCAACACAGTCCCCCTTGGCATAAGATTTTTCCCTTTTTCAGCTTTCAAATGTGCATGGTGCTCTTAAGACAGCTTAGGCGATTCGCCACTGTAAGCACTGCTGATGTATTAAAAGCATGGAGAAGTAAAGGCGTAGCTTTGTAGGTGGTTAATTAGAAACCACTTATGTACCTTGGATCTTGAATTAGGTCAATTTTGATAACCACAAAGGCTAGAAGGATGAAAATTGTGGGCTGAGTTACAGATGCTTAATGGGAGTATGGTGCTGTGTGAGACCGATTGGAGACGTAACAATGTTGGTAATTGTGCCAGTGTAAAAGCCTCTTAGCTACTATGGTCTTTGGAGGCGGTGGTAAGGTATGTGGAAACTACTTGCCATAAAGGTGGCAAACTACAGGAGATCTTTATTCCTTTAAAGATTTGATAATGCGTGTATTGGTGGTACTTTGCACCCTCACCCTCCTCCGTACACTAGATGTTTCGACTCTCTCCACTCATTTAAGCCCGTTATCTTAACTTTCCACTGCTTTATCCCATTTGACAGAATTAGTCTTGCCAGTGCATTGTGGAATGACTGATCAAGGTGTTGGTCTGATGAGAATCCTGTTTTCGACTTAGAATTGGTCGTGATTTCAGCCGTTTTCATCAGATGTACCTTTTTCCTATCTAGTTGTCAGGTAATCAACTACACTAATAGTTTCTTTTGAAACCCCAGTAGTGTAGAAGTAGCCAATCCTTCACAATGCACCCCCAGCAAATTGTTTCAAGAGATGTACATCAAGCTAAAACAAAGAAGTGCAAGCGTAGACAACATGGTAGAGATCTGTGGGCATTTGATTCGAAGATTGTGACAGCTTTGTCGAATATAATAGAAGGCGTACTGACAGTACGAAGACGATATAAAGTATACAGGTTTAAAAGTATGAAAGTGTGTTTGGAACTTTTGGGAGTTCGTTTGCATGACGCCGCTTTGTCACCTTGGCAGTCGAGTTATGGGAGAATTAATGTGTAATAGTAAAGCAGATACCGTTTTTGCATTTTCTTTTTATGGCCGTTAGCCTCGACACCTTCCTAACTTTTCTACTACGATAGTGCTTGTAGTGTAATCAACCGTGGGATAGAAGCTAGGGTTATTTAATGTTTCTTCTACATTGGCAGAAGAACTTAAAATCTGAAACTACTAATTTTGGCCTATATTATGAACAAAATCGGTCAATAGGGGCCAATTCCAAGTATTTTGAGAGTAATGTACAGCATTCATTATTTCTTTCCAAAATGGTGTCATCTAAATGCTACCCAACCATCCATCTAGAACATTCCTCACTCCTTTCAACGCAAATATTGAAATAGTCTTGTAGACAAATTATCACCAAAATTTTGCCATTCAATCAAATCTGGTCGAGCTTGAGGCTGCTGCTGAAATTCGACATCGTTTCGATGGCACCTTGATGCAATGCATTACTGCTCCACCCTCTATTCTGTGGTATTTTAGCTCAACATCCATTCAATACAAGCAGGATTGTGTTTCTCTGGAAATGGGTTTGCTGACGTCACCAGAGATCCTGGAAAAACTAGATGCAACTTAATTTGGAACGCAAAAATTATATAGAAGACAAATTAAGCAGGTGTTATTTCTATGTGCTAAGTAAATTAGGTACCATTCTATTCATATTCAAGCTAATAGAGTTCTTCAACTTTTTCCTATCTAGGTAAAATCTTCTCCAAGGAGCGATCAGTGCAGCTGTTCAGTAGTTTCACCCTCATCGCGAAGGAAGAAGTCTGCAGGAAGGCGCATGACTCTGGCGGTTGCAGCTCGTGAATCCTTCTCCTCCTTCCTTCAGTTGCGCTTTCCAGGTTCCAGAAGTGGGAATCGATCCAAGCGCAGCAGCCTCTTTTCCCTCTCTGAGTCTCAGAATCAGCAACAGCGTCAACAGCACCATAATCAGCAACACCATCACCACCCTTTTATACACCTACACCTGCGTCAACCACCAATCCGAGATCAGGAGGAAATCTCACCTCGGGATCAGCCGGAGAGAGATCTAGGTGGTGAAGACGTTAAAGAGAGCGATCGCTCCTCTAGTCTGGACCATGTCTTCCACCCAGCTTACTGCACCAGGGCGCAGTCACATCATCCACAATGCAAGGACGGCGGTGAGGAAGTTGCAAAGAAGGGTGATTGAGAACGGTGTGCTGAATATCCGAACTCCCGCGCGAGTATTGTGATTTGGTAAAGAATTGTGTGCCATGTTTTAAGAATACTTATGTGTATGTACAAAACCTTTCGTCTTAAAATGCTGAGAGAGGGGAATAGGTGGAATCTTGACAAATTAGTAAATACCTGTGGGAGACATCTAATCCAGTCAAGAGGCATCCCATTAGTTGCTGTGGATTCACTTACTTATTCAATCTATGCTTCACCTAATTCCTTTTATTTCTTTTTTGAACAGACTGGATGCTTAGAAACGTGAAATTTGTTCTAAAAGTCTACAATAATTGAACATTGTTTTCAATCATTAAGGCCCTGAACATTCAGGTAGTTTCCTGCACCGACAATTACTTTGTGTTAAATGTCATGGAGAAATAGGTATCCGCACAGCATTCTTCGGCTATCCTTTTTTGACAAAATTGACGTGGCAGATGGTTAGAAAATTCGAAACAGCTTTTAAATCACAAGTGATTTCATATTTCGCACTACGTTTATTTACATCTTGAGATAATATTTTACTGCCTAAAATTCGAAGAAATCCCAAAGTGATTTGGAAATGCAGGGCCGGTATTCCACTTTAAATTCGTGTAGTTTTTTTAAATGTCGGCCACTTTTGATTATTTTCCGTGCATGCTCTGAGTTGATTGTTGGCTGGAAGTTGAAAAGCAGAAAGCATCCTCTGCACTACTGCAGCGCCCCAAGATGTCCCCACGTAGAGAAGAGTTAACCAAGATACTGCATAGCCGCCCTCCTCTCCTCTTGGGCGCCGTCCCCATGGACGCCCTTGGTCAACCTCTCGCGTCGGCCATTACAACGCGATTGGGTAATCTAAGAAAGCACCCACCAACCAACCTCGCCAGCCATGGAATTTGCGCGCATTTAAGGAGGTGTTTAGCTGCATCGCTACTGATCCCCTCTTGGCAATTCTACTAGATCTGCAGTAACGTCCAATTTGGTAACTGTATTGGGGGAAGGGGTAATGCGCATGCCATCACGTATGCCCATCGCTAATTGTATAAACGCTGGCCTCAAGGCAGAGTCATTTGATAAGCGCCTGTGTGTAAAACAGTTTTATGGAAATAATGTTTCGTGTCTATTCCACCTTGTAAATTTGCCCTCACTTCAGTGCTACCCAACCATATCTGTCTGGGTTCTGTCTAGCTAATAGAGAGTTGGAGGAGGTATCGCGTGTTTAAATCATTGACATCTTCGTACAGGTGGCGTAAACAACTCCGTAGCTAGCTAATCCGGATGATTTACGGTTAGTATCACTTCACTTTTTGTTAGCTTTTCCGCAGAACATGAGATTGGGGCAGTTGCCGAGGGTAGACGTCGCTTTTTACCTTTCTGTCAGAGATCGTTACAGATTCTTCCATCCGCAGCACATGACCTTTCTCAGTCACATTGAGTTTTGGCATTCATTGAGAGAAATCAGGGTATTCGTCCCTTTGGATCGGGTTCGCTTCCCGCCGCTGCTAATGTAGCGCACCTAGACCACCCGACGCACAGGAGGGCCGGAGGTCTACTGACATAGCCTGGAGGCCAGCCGCTCAGGGGAAGTACGAAGGCAGAGTTTATGAAACAAAAGTGTAGAGTTTAGCCAACAATTAAAGTATTGCATACCACTTTGAAGTTAACAAATTGTAAGCCATTAGGTGGGCTTGAAAAACAAAAAAGCATATATTTTTGGAAGAATTTTGAATTTCTTGGGGTTGCAACTGGTTCTTGCTAAAAAATTTCCAACTTATTGTAGGAATTTTCTCTTAGGGTCCCACAGAATAGGTGCTTACAGCTTGCGAATTTAGAAGCTCAAATTCTCAAAAATTTAATGCATGGCATAATACATTAACTTTATGCTTGAGTTTGGTAAATGACGATATAATCGGTACCTTTTGGATACATTTCGGACCTTCACTTAATTGATAGAAATTTGTCGTATATTACATTGGGTTTTGGGGCTACCAATTTACGAATGTTGTCCGAATACAACACAATTTTAATGTCCTCTCGTTTATGGATAACCCACAGTGTAGTGCTATTTTATCTCAAGACTTTCTGGAAGAGGAAAAGGTGGTAGTAACAGCCTTATAGATAATGAAATTCCTCTTTCTTCTCCATTAAACATGCATGGGAACGTTTAAAAAAGATGTGTGGTTTGGGCGCGCGGAAAACGTTATAAGTAGTCTACAAACAGAATCGCTCTTCTTTCTCTCCTGCATTAGTAAAATTTTCTGCATCAAGTGTCTACACTTTTTTACAGCAAAGAGGTTTTTGCCATCACCCTAAGCATGCCGGTTATTTTTGGCAATGCTCTTAGTCCCATTGCCTCCTCGTGGGACAAGCAGGCAGTTGTAACTGTCAAATGGACTTAGTTCAACAACGCAAATCATCTTATATTCATGGACTCTGTCCCATCTTTCCCTAGAATACTTACCACTTATGACACTTTTGTTCGTACTTGACAAATTCTTCGCAATATTGTCGTTCAAAAATAGAAATAGAGGACGTTTTTTACTGTTTTTTGGTGAACGCAACAGAAGCCATGTACCTAGAACCAGTTTTGAACTTCACCACCGAATGAAAGCACATATGCTTCAGTAACGAGTTAAAAGATTTTTAATTTCTTATAATTCATTTGATTTGGCTGCTGTTCTATGTAATAAAATGCCATCACATCGTCCTGCCATAACGAGGTTTTAATGGCCATGTCGCTTTCACTGGTCATGCTGATGGTAAATTCCGCCTTCTCGACAGTGACCCTTCCTTAACTACTAACCAGTGCAATAACATGAAATTCTACTAATAATTTCAAAGGTGTCACTATCATTACGCTGAGGGGGAATTGCTACTTATTTTACTTTTCAGTAGATTTCAGGTGGAAGTTTCCATAGCATAATCTGCCTATGTTAGAGATTTCACTGTATCCTCCTAAGTGTTAATTATTGTTTTTAGTACTACTTTTGATTATTAAATGGTAAAAAGGCTTGTACGGTTTTGGATAAAGCTAGCTGTAGTGACTTAGTGTAACTTGCATAGATATGTGTGGGTTGATTGGTGCGGTATCCCTTAATGTGCTCCCTACTATATTCCCTTTATTCTCAGCCCACTCTCACATCATTAAATGCTAAGTAAACTAACTGGATGAATGTGACTCGAGTTTGCCTACTTCAGGAACCGAGTCTAATTGCATCCCATTTATTTCACAGCAGTCTGAGAAGTTGGGGTGGGTGGTAGCAGAAGGTGCCGAATAGAGATGACTCAAAAGTATAAATCGAGTAATTCGGCATTCAGAATCACTTGAACAATACGGAGAAAACCTTCATGATCATCCCCATGAAGACTTTTGCATTACCATTGAAACAGCAAGAGAGGTAGAGGTAAAAATGTTAAGGAAGAGTTGGATATTAGAAGTAAGATAGCAACAGAAGTTGCTAGGTCTAATCCGCTTGATCCTAGAGTCAATTTGTTTTGCTCAGGTCATTCTAGCCTGTGTCTCACTAGAAATGTTTAATAATTTGCTATGTTGACTCTTTTGACGAATGTCATATTTCAGGAAACCCGTCTTGTTTACTTGAGGAAACTGCGTGAACCCATTCGGTCGCCTTCTACAAAGCAACCCAACTCTTGGTGTTACAATAGGGACAAAGGAATTACAATATTTACCTTATAGTAAATTGTACGTCCTTAATTTTATGTTCCCTTTTTTTCTATTGGCATATCCTCTAGGTACGGTGTTTCTGCCCATTGAGTATTACCGAGGGATTCAATTGGAAATAGCACTTTTACAGCCTTTTCGGTGAAGATGATAATATCTGTGTAAAGGAGGTAAATTTTAGAGTTTATGTGAGATTTTGCAAATGGTGTGATTTATAATTTTTGTTCGGTTGCTACTTGGGGTTGGCAGCTCAGATAGCATCTTTTTTCACACCCTTTCTGACGCAAATGCAATAGCTCGCAAAATCACGACTGATGGCAGGGAAAAATATTTTACTTTATTTTGCTTAAAAGTGCGGAATTTTCCTTCACTCCTAAAAAGCTATTGAGGCGTTGAACCGTTTTTGGCAAAGTGTCAGCTTTTTTCTAAAATGGATACTTGAAAGTAATTTTCAAATAATTCTATCACCAGAACATCATGACACTGTCGTATCTGCCAAGTGGATATGCGGACCTCCCCTTTTCCTTACTGTCGGTGTCATAAATGACATCTAATTATGTATCTTTTTTTGACTCCTGAATAACTACTCACATATTGTCAAGTGTTCACCTAGTACTAAATGACAGCACTTTAATTTACCTTCTACTGTTTTAAGTTTTTAAGGCTTTTTAACATCATGCGCTTGATTTTTGGACTACTTAACATTGGAATCTTTAATTCTTCCTTAATGAGCCAGAGCCGTACTACAAATTCCACTCTTACACAGCAGTAAGCCTCCTGAGGTAAACAGCCCAGCTATAGTCCAGGCCACCTCCGTTTCTCTCCCAATTATTTCTCAATTGTCTACCCTATTTTACATGCGATCATGTGATTATTTTGCATGACAATGCCAAGAAAAGATGACAATCGTGTGAACCACAATGGTAAAAGAGGGAATGTGGATAATATAGATGGGGGAAGACAATATTTCACCTCTTCTTTCCCCACCCCCTATTCCTAAGGCATGAATGAGTCTGAGAATAGGACTACATTTTATTGTTTCTCTAGTCCTGGATTTTTTAATCAAGAATAAAAGGAAATTTTTCTTCCATATTATCCAGTTGTGTTGCACTGAGTGGACGAGATCGGTGCCACTATTACTGTTTGGTATTCTGAAAGTCTGCAAAAGTGTCACTTGCGCAAATAAAACATGGATGGTGCGGTAAACTCCGAATACAAAAGCAAGAAGAACATTTCCCATCAAAGGTTATTCAGTCAATCTAACATAAAGATCTTGGTTTTATAACTTACGCGAGTTAGTGGTTGAAGTTAATTTTTGCCTATTAATGTATTAGCTAGCGGGTGGAACGTATTTGCTGAGATCATAAAAAATGCTGCCCCTCCAAAAGCGATGCAGCCAGCTTTGAGTGATCCACCACCAGGATCATATTTAAAGCTTTTTTTCCTCTTCAAATGCTACACAACAAATGAAGTAAAAGCTCTTTCAGCCTCGAGTTTGAAATTTAGTCCAGCTCGGTCCGTGAGCCGGACAAGCTGGAATCGCACCCAGCCAGTTAGTTCAACCGACATCTAAGGATATGGGTGTGGATTGGATTGAAAAGGATAGCAGTACAGAACACATTTAGGAGCCCTGTACGGCAATACTCACCCATATACGTTTGTACAGCGAGTTATACCGACAATTGGCCAAGTATTTTGGTCACTTGACTTGCATTGCAGATTTGTTTGCAGTTTCTGCGAAATGCATTCTCTGTCTAGACTTAATGTGAATATCTCGAAATTTTTTTCATACCTCCCTAATATTGATACCTGGATGTCTGCTAGACATGGCTGGCTGTAAAATCGTGCACTTGAAGAAATTTTCTTTAAGAAATATTAAAATTACTATTTGCCCTTTAAGCCACTGAAGAAGGCTTGAATGGCGCAATAAATTGAAGAATTATGTTGACAAGGAAAGCCAGGACTTCCCGGATTATAACATTGTATGTGACGAAAACGTGGTGCGCTAGGTCACTCAGGCATCAAAACGAGCACCAAAGTAGTGGAAGCATTCAACACCGATGGTAAAGCAAAACGAGTAATTCGATGAAGATTCATTCATGCAGATAAATCTTTATGTTCCAAAGTTTTGTAGTTTTTCCAAGTCAAAAATAGATTTATTTTGAGCATTTTGCGCTTTGTTTTTTTTCTGCACAAATTCGTGGGTCCCTGTTTGAGTTGAACGGCCTTTATGGGACCAGCCCATGGACAGAGTGACTTTCATTTTTATCACTACTTGCATAGATGACATATTAAGTATTTATATGTCTTAAAGATACTTAAGGTCTCTCGATTCCCTACAATTCCTCAACGAAACGACAAAGTCATTAAATTGTCCTATTCTGATACAGCTTTCTTACATCCATCCAGTTATTTAGACAGCTCTTCTTAAGAACTAGATGTCAAAAATGATTAAGTGTTTTTTTTACGCTGAGAATATGGAAACAAGTATTTTTATCTGTTATGTATGATAAGATCAAAAAGCGATATCAAGGTAACTTTTGGTTAAATTACTTCCATTAAGGACCACCATATTCATCTTGGTTTTGTTGAAAACTGCGACAACCCTGTATTTATGTACTATTTTAAATCACATTTGAAAATTTCTACCATCACTGATAGTTTCTCTAACTTTAAGACCATATTTTAGGGCAAAATTTTGAAGTCTGCTTTACTTCATGTGAGTTGAATACCCCTCGTCCTTTAAATAGTCGGTGTTATTACAATGCCTCCTCACTCTGAACATCGGTGATGATAGCAAACGATGATCTTTTCCCCTCTGCCATTTAATTCTAGAGTTAGCTATCGATGAATTTTTCTTCTCCTTACCCTTTAGTAATGCGCATTGATGACAGTTTTGCTTGTCATTTAATAAAGGACGGGGCATAAAATAGTTTCGTGGGGATAGGGCTTCGCGTCTATTCCTCCTTGCCACATCATCATCACCTCAGTGCTGCCCAGCCATATATATATATTCATCCAGGTTTGATCCAACTAGCAGAGAGGCGGAGGTGTTGCGTGTTCACTTATACAGATACCGTGGACAGCTCAATACCAAATTTTTTCAGATGGTTCACAGCTAGAGTCGCCGCAGTTGTTAATAGCTTCCCTGCAGAACACAGAATTCGGGTAGTTACCGAGGGTAGATGCTATTTTGAAAGCTTCTGTCAGGGGTTGTCGAAAATTCTCCCACTCACAGCATATGTCCTTCTTTTGTCATGTTAAATTTTAGCATTTAATGGGGTAAACCAGGGCAAATGTCTTTCAGGATCCGATTAGCTTTCCTCTGCCACCAATGTACAGCCCCAAGTCTTGCGTGTAGATGAAAGAAGACATAACATTCGGACAAAATGTGTGTTGCAGGAGTAGAGATGGGTTGGGGACTACTAATATGGCCTAAAGGCTAGGCTGCGGGGCAGAAGTACAATTATCATGGCCTTCAGTGCTTACGTAGCCAAAACGAAGAGTTTAACAAACCATCAAAGTATTGAAATGATATTTAAAAAATAAGATAACGCTTTCATTTTTACTAGGTTATTTGACTTTTCCATATACCTTTGAATATGCGGGCTTTCCAGCAGCCGCAGCTTGTGATTCTGCTTGGTGGAATAGCCTTTAGGATGGGCTTTTTGTGAGACAGGGCGATTCTAGGGTACAACATGCCGACGAACATCAAGTAGCGGAATCTCATCACAATGTCCCACGACTGCAAAATCTTAATGTCTTCCCAGGAGTTAAGGTCAAATACAAACCAATTAAATGGAAGTACAAGAACGTATTATGCACTTTGTGAAAGTCAACCTGTAAATTTCCCTTTTAAAAATGATATCTTAACTCTAAAGGATTGAACTCAAAAACACTTAGACAAGTTTTATAACTAAAAGTACGTGAAGTTGAATTCTGAGCAGATTTAAGACCTACTCTATCAAAATTCATCCAAAATTACAATGAAGTATAAAAGAAATATATTTTTAATTAACGTAGCAAAACATGATATCACAATGCCTCGCAAGGCAGTAGTTCATGATAAAACCATCGCAATGTCTCCTTTTCCTTGACATAAACCAATGCAAAAAGACTCAGTAATTGCAGAAATTTCCCAAAGCTATGCTTCATTCGTTAAACTAATCTCCATTGCAATCTTCCATTCTTCGTCAACCGAACACAAGGGGTTGTAAATCTCACCAAACAAATTGCCCTGACGTTAGAACAAAACAGCACAACCCCAGACACCACCGTGTACATCACACTTTCACTTCACAAATTCACACGTGATCATGGGATTGTTGAATGATAATGTGAAGGAAGGGTGATAATTATTTTGGGTGTGGAGAAATATCCCCAAGAGAATACAGGGCATGAGATGAGGATGAGATAGGGCAATGCAATTTCGCCTTTCCTCCTTCTCTCTTCCCCTAATTGAAATACATCCCTTCCCATGGGTCAGTTTTGCGGCAAGTAGTATGAGATTGTGCGCAGGAATAGTTGAGTCTGCGGTGCAGCCCTCTTCTCGGAGTGTGTGCTAGGGGGTGGTTAAACCTGCGCTTGATTTCATATTGCTTGCCACAAAACTGACCCATGGGAAGGGATGTATTTCAATTAGGGGAAGAGGGAAGGAGGAAAGGCGAAATTGCATTGCCCTATCTCATCCTCATCTCATGCTCTGTATTCTCTTGGGGATATTTCTCCACACCCAAAGTAATTATCACCCTTCCTTCACATTATCATTCAACAATCCCATGATCACGTGTGAATTTGTGAAGTGAAAGTGTGATGTACACGGTGGTGTCTGGGGTTGTGCTGTTTTGTTCTAACGTCAGGGCAATTTGTTTGGTGAGATTTACAACCCCTTGTGTTCGGTTGACGAAGAATGGAAGATTGCAATGGAGATTAGTTTAACGAATGAAGCATAGCTTTGGAAATTTTCTGCAACTATTGAATTTTCCACTTAAGACAAAATTGTACTTACTTAGCACCTTTATATTTCTATGGCTCATCATTTTTCCCCATTACTCTAGACACTCGTAGACCAGCATTTCACTTTTTTTTGAATAGAGTTGGATGTGGGAACTTTTAGTTGTTGCATTATTGTTAAATAGACTCTGAAAATTAGATCAACACTGATCACCCTTTAATGTCGTCCTCGATAACATGAGTTATGCCAGTATTTGCTTATGTTTTGCGGAAAAATTTGGTTGTTTCGTTCATTGCTTTAAGCTTTTCTTACAGTTCTCTCTGAGATTACGAGATATTTCTAAAATCGACTATTTTTGTATACCGCTAAGAGGAACATACTTTCCTTAGCTGAGATATTGCAGGATTGCCACAAGGTTGCGCTATCTACGCTATGGCCATTGAATAGCGCTACTTACTTTTCTTTGCTACCTACACTCGTTTACAGGTGATGTCGGTGACTGTCGGTGAGTTGCACATGTACGCAAATGCTTTTACACCAAGCCCCTGGGACCTGATGTTCCCCTTTTCATAGGTTTTCTAATGAATCGTGGCAATAAACAAAAATTGTTTTTGAGTACACTATGGCGTGTTATTCGTTCTAGAGCCTGCTGAAAAGCCAAATGTCCTCTTTCTATAACCTCACTTGCAAACACCTGTTTAAGGGCTTCGTGTTTGAGGAGGAATTTTCGCAATTCAAGATCAAAATCCTCATCACCATAATCCTCCTCTTTAACTCGGCCAATTTGTTTGCTACAAGACCTGGGGCCCATCACCTGCCATAAAGTGACAAAAAACATTCCCAACGTATGTTGAAATCAAGCTGAGGTAGATAAATGCGAAGGCCAAATATATGTGATGGGTTGTTGCAGATGCAGATATCAGCTGCTGTTGTTGTTACATTTCCTCCTTTGAGCGATTTTTGCGGACCCAGACACGAAAACTCGTCTTTTTATGCTATAAATATTCTTTTATACACTTGAACAAGAATGCAATTGAAGTATTTTTGCGTAAAATGAATGTCGAAAAAACTGGACATTATTTTATTCAGCTCGGCCTAAATGTATATTTGAAGCAAAGCAACTTTACATTTAACCTCTCTGTAAAATTCCATCATATTAAAGTACCCTTCCTTCATTCGGATCCATCTGGTTCACTATACATTTTTAAAAAATTCACTGAGTATTCTCTCTGACTAGTTAAAAGTTAGAAAGAAATTTATGAATCGAAAAGCTACGAAAGAACACTATTTTTTCTCTAAAAGAAGGCAATCATTTGCTCTGAAGACGAAGCAAATCACAACACTAGGATGGCAAAAGCATTGCCGATATACAGGAGGGCTGGGCATGGGCCTCTGGGACATGCCGTCCAGTGGAACTGCAACCGCAGAGCCCCAATTGTTCGCGTAACCGAAACGAAGGGTTAAACAAATAATCAGGTCAGCACAAAGCATCTAATCCAGTGCTACTCTTGGTCAATCTCCCACGCCGGACGTTACAGCGCAGTCGATGCTCTAAAAACAGGAAAAACGGACCAGACGCCCTAGTCATCGAATTTGCACGTAACAGAGAATATCTGAATGCAACGTCAATGGTCGCTTTTAGGGAGTTCACTGGCTGTAGAGCTTCCTTATGTTCAGAAAGTGTATTAGGAAAGAGAGAATGCGCAGGCCGTCACGCATGCCGATCGCTAGTCGTAAGAGCACTGTCGTAAAAGTATAGTCAATTCCTCCGAATAAAGTCTCCCTCCTTGAAAATTTGTTCCCAATAATATCTATCAGGGTTAATTCGCTATTAGAAAGGTGGAGGAGATGTCGCGTGTTAGCTTAATGGATATCTTCATGCAGGTACCGTAAAAACAGCTCCATAACAAACGTTTCCAGATGGTTTGTGTCTAGTATTGCTTTGTTAATTAATGGTATTCCTGTAGAGCACAGGCTAGAGTAGTTGCTTAAGGTAGACGTCATTTTCAGTCCTATTATTCAGAGTGGTCACAGATTTACCTCTCTGCAGCGTATGACTTTTTCATCATTAACGTTTAGCACACAGTAATAGAAATTTGGGCGGTTGTCATTTGAGATTGGGCCTGCATTCCACTGTCACCAATGTAGCGTCTGAGTCTTCACGGAAGAAAAACTAAGACAAAGTACTTGGGCAGTGGCGATATAGAGAAGTGTTGGGGGGAAAGGGTATGGCATGCGCGAATGGCCAAGCTGTCCAGAAGGAAAACCAAGGCGGAGCTTTAAGTGCCCATGTAACCAAAGTGGAAAGTTGAACAAACAATCAAAACATTGCGCGACGCTCTCCTACTGCACTTTTACGGATATTACACCCATGCCCAATTATTTCCCCCTTCGTCAAGAATATTTGGCATTCTTGAAATTTTGCAATAGCAATAAATAAAAGCAAAAAATTATTGTATGACCCCTTCGCAGTATTCTTTTTAACAAACTGAAAGCCTTATTTTGGAGCAGGGGGTATAAAGCTTTGCTGTCAAATTAGGTCTCGTTGTGACCAAGTTTAAATCAAAGTTATCAAAGCTCTTCATCCAGTGCATCTCATAAATCCTTTTGAAAAAAGAGATTTTCTAAAATTTTGACGAAGTTTCCACTTCATCAGCGGTCTCAAAATAGAGGCAAAAATTTGGGAAAATTATTTTGATGATGAAATATTTTCAACTTTATGGCAACCAAGAGTGAGTTTGAGTAATTAATCAGCTGGATTAAATTGAGGGTGCAAAATATTGCATTAGACAATAAAAGCAGTAAAAAATACCTAAAAAAGGAGTTCTTTTCACACTCAATAGCTGTCTGATTGGGAGAGCAGACAAAAGTGATGCCTCAATTCTCTCCAGTTGCTGATAAGAGTTGAGCACTCCACAGAAATACCCCAGAACTTTGTCTAGCATACTGTTCAACGAAAATTATTTAAAATA